GCACTGTTCAGTTTTACTAGGACTAGGTCAGGCCATGAACTCCAGCATACTTGCTTTGAAGCAAATTGCATGGAAGCTCATGTGTGCTTGCCATCAAGAGACAGTCAATATTTTTAATGGTATTTCTTTTAGAAAAATATAATTTCCTGGAAGCTAATCATAATCTATTTTTGATTCAGTAATTCTTAAATAAAATTTTAGATTGTTTTTGCCTTACAATTCTAACTATGTTTTCCTTTCTAGTGACCATTTGCTATCTCAGTGGATTCCTCTTCTTTCCGAGTGTCCAGCAATTACTAGGATGTATGAAGAGCATGCCCTTCTTAGAGACGCTATGATGGTTAATTCTCTTGTTCGGGTGCTACAGACACTGCATGATTTCAATATTGTGTTAGAGGGATCTCTGACTAAAGGAGTGGATGTATAAACATATTTTTCAAAGACTTTGCAATCCTTGCTTCGTAATTCTGGATAGTATTGTAGATCTCCTGAGCCTTGTGACCTGAGAATTTAACTTCAAATTACTTTATGCACTGGACTGTAGCAAATCACTGTAAACAAGAGACTGCGGCTCATTAGAGGGACTGTGAGCTACAGATTTGTGGCTGAAACTTGACTCAACACTCTCTCATAGACTAGTATTCAATATTTAGTACAATAGAATATTTTCATGTGTTGTGTGTAAATACTGCTGTAGCATTTTTTTTAAAGAACTAATTAGGAAATATTAATCAGGTGACGTGAATTGGTTGAATGATTTATTCACTCTTTTGAGTGTCAGATCAATGGCTAACCCATCTAAAGCAAGGGTTTCCTAACCACCTGAGTGGCAATAAGGTAGATCATTCTCCGCTCTAATTTTCAAAAAAATAACTACTTCATTGCGCTATGTTTTTTCCTAAATAGAAATTTGAAGTGTTAGGAACTTTTACCAATTTAAAAATTTTGGGCCACGTACAAGTGTGCTTTGCAAAAGTTACATGCATTACCTCATTCCGCATGAGTAAACGGAGATTAATGCTGATCATGAATTTAGAAAATGTGATGTAAATACCTCAGAGAACTGGAATATCTATTTTCCTAAGTTATATATAGCAAGAAACCACTGCAAGTATTAAGATGTAGCCATTCTTATTCCTGTTAAATATAGATATATTGTGAATGTAAATGCTTACTCCGAGGTTTTGGTTATCTCTTGTGTCATTCCCCCCCTTTAAAGATGTTTGTGATTTCATACATATTTTGAAGGGTTTAAACATTTGTTTTAAGTGTCATGTTAAACATACTGTATTCAGTGCATATATTTGTTCTTCTGCTCACTGTAAAAAAACAAAAAAACTCTTCCATAGGCCTTTTAGTGCCTCATCTCGCACCAAAATCATTAAAGAGATGCGATAGGCATCAAAACAGCTTTAGCTTAATGAAGCAGTTTTGGTGTGTATATTATGCCCCTGCAGTCTCACTGCTTAATTCTCTGCCATTTAGGAGTTAAATCACTTATGTCTCCATGCAGCCCAGGCTGTGACTGCATGAAATTAATGGTTTCATTTTCAATCTCATCTTTAACTTTCTTAAGAAGTTCTTGTCTCCTGCTTTGTAAATTTAACTTTAATCACACACTGGAGGTTCCTACAGGCTCTAGCAGACTATTAACAGAGAATAAGTTAGGAAATTCTACATGAAACCGACTATGCAATCAAAGAAGTTTAAACATTACATCTCTCTTTACAGGAAGTGTTTAGGAAAATTGTGTAAGCCACATGCAGGAAGGTGTTACTAGGACTGCATAAACAAAGTGATTTAACTGCTAAATGGCAGGGGCATGATCTATACACCTAAACTGCTTCATTAAGCTAAAATTGTTTTGGTGACTATAGTGTCCCTTTGAGTATTTTTAGTTGGCAGTTAAAGGAATACTAAAGTTGCCATCCTAGCTTAAGTGCACTTGATAGGTTTTAAGGAGTCATATTCTTGCTGCCCCTTGGCAACGTCTTTTCACAAGGCATTTTCCTTATAGACGTGTTGAGTACATACTTGGCTTTTATTGGCTGAGACAAGTTGTCATGATCTGCCCCACAGCCAAACACTGTACTTTTTCTTCATGAAGGCACCTAATGTTCCTCATAGAGATGCATTGATTCAATGCATCTCTATGAGGAGATGCTGATTGGAGCAGTGCAGTGTTTTGCCGCACATGCACAATAGCCTGCCAATGCTTTCATATGGGAAAGCATTGGATTGGCTGAGATCGTCAATTTTGATTATCACAGTAAAGAAGGCGAAATGGGGGCGGCCAGGGACCTAAATAGTGTTATTACAGCTATAGTGAAATTGAATTCATGTTTGTATTCCTGTCACTATAGTGTTCATTTAAGCTATTTTAACAGGGTGGGGATATAAGATTAAAATCCTGAACATTTGTGATGTCATCATGTGACATTGAATTTTGGTTTATATATCTCTGTACATTATAGCATTTTATTTGCAAATGAGGTGTGCAGCAGATTGACAATTTAGTCCAGTATTTTTGTGATCATTCTGTATTTGCATTTAGTTCTCTCAGACCCTGTACAGACGCGGTTTTATTTTCTACATACACTGTATTTAGCTTATGCGTTTTCCTTTATGACACACAAAGGGTAGCAGGGAAACCCTGTCTGACACTCAGATGTCTGTCTGGTATATGAAAATCCATAAGGTAGGACCTCTCCCCCTTAGCTTTTTCAAGGATTAAAGCAGCCGTGATGCTTTGTCACACTCCTCATGTGAGATCAACAGCTGGGAGGGGGACCCTACCCTGGTCTCATAAAGTCAGCACCTGTCTATCCAGAATACACACTGGTACATTTTTATTTAAAAAAAAGAGGTGGGAAAATTGCAAAGCTTTGCACTACTTGTATATTGAGTATTATAAACCTGAAAAATGTTCCATTGTACATGAGGTAACACACTGGCACTACTGCTAAGATGTTGGATTTCAAACTTTCAGTTAATCTTATGTATGTTCTCACTGTTGGGTAAAATTTACGCTGACACGTTCAGAGTGTAAGAAGCCCTTGATTCAATCCAGTCCGATATAAAGCAAATGCTAAATAGACAGTTACTGTATTTTGTTTAACTCTTTGATTGCCAGAGATTTAAGCAACATTGTGCCATCCATCCCTTGCTGTTCCTTGGAATGCAAAGAGTTAAACCAGTTTACTGTTGAGTACATGTATATATTCATTAAACCCTGTTAATTACTAAGACTGTGATATTGGTTTCAGATTCTCATGATAATGTGTGCATTTATTTTTCCTCTTTCTATCATCGTTCATCAGTATTGTGTACAGTGCAAAGGAGATTAACATTTCATTGTCCGTTGTGACATTCTAGTGCACGGTTGTCACAGTTTATTTTCAGTATTAAGATATTGTGATATCATGTGTATATAAAGTATTGAAATAACCACCAGCTGGTAATGGATGCTGTATGTGACCTACATCACAGTTATCAAATATACCCCTCCCCCATATCATTTTAGGGTTTGTTTAATTATTTTTTTTAGTGGCCTGCAGTACACACTTTAAAATGTGATTCACTGGTATAACTGGATTTTGCACTCTTCATTTTAATTTTTTTTTAACATGTTTGTTGATTTATCTTTTTTTTTTCTTATATAAAGGAATTCATCTAAAATCAGAGGGAGAGCAATCCTTTGAGTGCCACATTTTACAAAAAAAATGAGTGCTGCATTTCTTTCAAATTGACCTAGTGGCATACAAGGGAAGAATTATTTTAGGCGTTATCACATCATTACTACATTTTACTACTTTTTGTATAAACTGTACTCCGAGAAAGTCTGCTAAATAGTAAATTTGATCAGAGAGCTGTTCAAGTGTGATGAAAGCTTGCCCGGCAGCTGAACAAAGTACTGTTTCCACCATGTTACCTCACCCGATGAAGCAACTGTGTCACTGTTGAGGAACATATAACTATAATATTCTTATTTTACATTTTTGATTGGTTTACAAATATTTATATTCTAAGATTATATTTGATATCTGACTGCCGAGACAATATGAAATTTTGATCTTTATATAGATTAAATGTGTTTCTATTTATCATTTATTGATTGACAAAATTGAGAATAAAGATGGAAATCTCTTATTACATTTTAAGTCGGCGCCATAATTAAGTATCTGAATATGTTTCTGTTAATCAGCTGGCACTCAAAGGATTAATTGATATGGGGTGTGAATCAGGAGTTTTTTTTTATTTCATTTATAGTGTATCCAGTATGTACCCAGTGTGTTATTGCTGTCTTTTGTCCATTAAAGAGAAATTGTGAAAACAGTGTTTGTTGCACTGCCTTGATTATTTAATGGTTACTTTAATAGTTGTTGATTTAAGTGTGTTATTTTATCAATACCTCAATTCCTGTGAGAATGTTTTATGGCTTTCCTATCTACATCTTAGGAACAATAGTTTCAAATGGTGAGTTTGAAAAAGCTGAGATGCCCATAGATGTCCTGTGTTCAAATTTTGTACTGTGTTGGTAAAGACCGTAATGTACATATACTCTTAATCCCTCTGAATTGTTGCCAAATTTGTTATAACAATTCAACTGTTACGTAGCTACAAATACAGGTTAAAATATCAAAAGAAATTCAAAATACAAGATTTTTTTGTTTTTGTGGTGTTTCATTTTTTTTTATTTTATTTTTTAAATAATAGCAATATTCCAGAAAAGTATAGTTTGGTTGCATTTTCATTTTAAATCTAATCCTATTCATTTAAATATTGCACTAATTTAAAAAGTTTCATTTACATTTGCAAAATATTTTAGAAAGTAAGTCCTTTAAGGATCTGATCAATTTTCAGAGCTCAACTTATGCTTTTAAGAGCCTCAGTGAAAACCCCCCAGGGTGCACCTCTTTATCATTCTAATGCTTGTTTAAATTATAATAGTTGTGAAAGCTACTTATGACACTAAACAATCCCTTTCTCAGAGACAGACTCTTGAAGTTATAAATTTGTGACTGGCTTTTTAAATAAATATAAGTATAGTTTGTGCAATATTGGTGCATGTAAGTGTTTCGGGGTATGTGTGTTTTTGTCTGTACAATATCAATAAGTGAATGTCAGTACTTGTGTATATTGATGTTCTTGTGTGTGTTTTTTCAGTATGTATTGATGTGGGTGTTCACGGTCAGTGTCAGTGTGTCCGTTTCTATGTATGCAATGTCAGTGTGTGTGATTGATATTGCACATACACACAAGCACTGTGTGTAATCTGCTTAGAACTATCCCTCTATTTACATACCATCATGTCATTTAAACTCCCACATACCCACACAAAATATGCCCCAATTTAAATTTCTCTTACACACCTGCCTTTTAACCAACCCTTATATTAAAACATCCCTGCACAATACCCCCTCTCATCCTGATTTGATCCCCTTTAAAGTCTGCTTAGGTCCTAAATTATTATTTTTATTATTTATATAGCGCCATCAGATTTCATAGCACTATACAATGGGTGGACTAACAGACATGTAATTGTAACCATACAACTGGACGTACAGGAACAGAGAGGTGGAGGGACCTGCTCAATGAGCTTACATTCTAGAGGGACTGGGGTATAGTGACACAAAGGGTAAAAGTAGGGGTACAAAGTAGGTTGTTAGAAAAGTATTCACAGTTGCAGGAGAGGAGTCATGGGGGGTTGGGGATAAAAACCTGCTAACAGTTTAATTGATATGCTTTCTTGAAGTAAGGCTTCAATTATTTTTTGAATGAGTAGAGACTGAGTGAAAGTCTAACAGATAAGGGAAGGGAGTTCCATAGAAGAGAAATCTTGGAGGCGAGCATTAGAGGTGGGAGTACGTACAGAGGATATACGTAGGCCTTTGGCAGAGCGTAGGGGCCTCAACGGGACATACTTGTGTATTAGGCAGGATAGGTAGGTTGGAGCAGCATTATGTAGGGACTTGTAAGCAAGCACCAGAATTTTAAATTGAGCCCTATATCTAACTGGAAGCCAATGCAGGGACTAACAGAGCGGGGAGGAAAATGAGCCTCGCCGCTGAATTAATTATAGATTACAGCGGCGCAATCTGGGAACAGGTAAGATCACTGAGAAGGGTATTGCAGTAGTCAAGGTGAGAGAAAACAACAGCATGGACCTACATACTGTAATCACTGGTGGTCCAGTGACTCTTCTCAATGTGTGTCTTAATATTGAGAAGCAGCTGCTTTTTTTAAAATTAGTTTGTTTTTGTTTTTTTAGGTTTTTTCTTCCCCACCCCGCCCCCATAGCTTGACATTTTAAATCTATGCAATGATAAAATATTGTGCTTGTGTATTTGAATCCTTATTACACAATTACTTCCTCTGACTGCATGATGATTTCCAATCAATTTGTATTCTTCTGCAGTATGTTTCATTTTAAAACAGAAAATGTGATTGTTGATAACTCCAGTGTAGTGGCCTCCGGGTAACCCGACCGGTCAACACCGCTTATTCCCTTCCCTCAGCTGGTCAAGAACCACTTAAACTGCAACGCGACCCATTCTCCCCTCAAGACCTAGTTTAGGAGGTACAACGCAATTTATTTTCCACACATGGCTTTTATGCATACCTCGTGCAAGGGATAGATCACAAACACATAGACACATCTCACAATCCTCCCCCTACCCCGAGGTCCCAGCGCGGGAAGGGACTCTGTTCTTTGTCCCCAGAGCCTGACACTAAATCTCTGGGGTTCCCCACACGAACCGCCCAGGGTCTTCTTCCCAAGAGCCTATGTGCCTGGGAGTCTAGGCGCGTAAAATAGGGACCGTCCTTTTGTCTCCCAAGCACAGAAAAGCCCACCAAAACTCGCCAGTGCCCCAAATGTTCCCACACCAATCTCAGGGATCTTAGCCTCGGTCCACCAACCGGCTAGTCTCTGTTCGCAAGATCCTGGTGTGAAACCCAGACAAGTGAAGCGTCTCCTTTCAGGGTATGAATGCTCCCCCGGATGGCGTTCGTATATACGAAATGGCGGCCACCCAGGAGAGCACTCATTAATTACTTCCCTTGCAGTTTCAAACTCTGGTTGCAAGTGTGAATGTTCTGATTAATTGGTGCAAACGTTCTAATGGGGCACTGGGGAGGTCCTAATTTGGGAATCGAACGAGTCGGGAAACAATCATATAAATTCTCCCCCTGGCTGGCGTTTGTCTGTACGAATGGCGCCGCCCAGGGTAGCGCTCAGTTGTTTCCCTTGCGGTTTGATGCTTATGTTGCGAGGTGTAAAGGTTCTAAACGAACATTCCAAATGTGGTGGCCCCCATTCGGGAGGCGAATTAATTCCCTTTGTGGAGGCACTTCCGAACGGGTAACGGGCATACTATACAAGAGGATGTGGAGAACACACAATATAAAAAAGGGCAACTCAAAAGGATGTGGAAGCGGTCCTGCCACACCAGCAAATCAATTTTCACTTTATCTGGCTGAGGAGTTCTGTTACGTCTACTGTTATATGACCAACTGCTGCTGCATGTTCACACAGAGCAAATACAGCAGCAGGCAAGTTAAGCTGAGTAGTAGCTGGTCAGAACACAGTTGCAATTTTAAAAGTAAAATTTTCACAAAAATATCAATATTTTTAATTAAAAATAAATCATAAATCATTATCTAATAAAACATTTGTATTTTTTTTTATTTTTTTTGCAATAGATGGTTTTTACAAAGCAAATAGAATGCATAAATTGCATTTATAGTCTGTGTGACTGAGTTCCTGTACTTTGACAGAGTACTTCAGCCCAGTTTGATTCCAAGTCGCTTCCCTGGACCTTGGAATGCTTCAACCCCAGTTGCCAAGGCTGGGGTCTCTCTAGAGCTTTTCCACCCAACCAGGTTGCAGCTCTATTTCCAGGCAGGTATAATCCCCTCTGCCTATTCCTCTGCAGCTTTCTTTCCAGGCAGGTATGCACCTCTGCCTGCAATGTGATAGCTCTTTTTCTTTATAAAGACATGTGCGGCTCTCAGGCCTAGCTCTGTTAGATTTACCGCAGGGCTAAAGGGATCGTGCAGCCAGACAAAAGGTACGACCAGGGCTGCCATCAGAAATGTTGGGGCCCCTGACACAGCTCAAGGTCTGGGCCCCCCGGTGCCTGCACCCGAGTCCGCCCAAAGTGCTGCCCCCCCCCGAATCCGCCCACAGGGATGCAGTGTCTACAGGGCCGGTGCAAGGATTTTTGCCGCCCTAGGCAAAAGTAAAGTTTGCCGCCCCCCATGTGACATCACAATGCCCCACCCATATTATCTGCCATGTTAACTAACACCAGTGCTGCATTGTTTACATTAAAAGGCCTGCAGGGACAGGCTAGACACCAGAACCACTACATTAAGCTGCAGTGGTTCTGGGGACTATAGTGTCCCTTTAATGTGAGGTAAATTAGAGATTAGTGCCACGAATAATATACTAGATTGCCTACTTACAACCAGATGAGGATGATGGGCTCTAGCTGCCATCTGGCTCCACTGGTCTGGTGTACAACAGGCTCTCTGGAGGCGGTTTGTAACTGGTCACAAAAATCACTGTTCTGGGAGAACGGGAAGCAGCTCCATTTTTTTGAGGGCCCTTTACACTCAATGTCTGGGTCCCAGGGTCCACCTTCATGTTCCACCAATGAGTTTGTTCACAGAGAGTGGAGTGTGTGTGTGGGGGGGATGTCCTGATGTGTGTAAGGAATGCATTGTGTGAATCTGTGTTTGTATGTGTAAGGGCTGCAAGATGAGTTTGTGTATGTATGGGATGCAGTGTGTGCATCTGTAAGGGATACATTGAGTGTGTGTAAGGGGTGCATTGTGTGTTGCTGTGTGTAAGGGATGCATTGCTTGTGTACGTGTATCTGTGTGTAATGCATTGTGTGTTTTTCTGTGTGCAAGGGGTGCATTGTGTGTGATGGATGTCAATCTCTCCCCCTCCCCCCCAATTTCCTTCTCCCCCCTCTCCCTCCAATTTCCTTCTTCCCCCCTCCAATTTCCTTCCTCTCCCCCCGTCCCTCAAATTTCCTTCCTCTCTCCCCTCCCCCTCAAATTTCATTCCTCTCCCCCCTCAAATTTCATTCCTTCCCCCCCTCAAATTTCATTCCTTCCTCCCCCTCTCCTCAAATTTCATTCCTTCTCCTTCCCCCCTCCCATTTCATTCCTTCCCTCCTTCCCCCCCATTTCATTCCTTCCCTCCTTCCCCTTCCCCACCATTTCATTCCTTCCCCCCTCCCATTTCATTCCTTCGCCCTTGACCTTCCGGCTCCGGCATCAGTACGCGGCGCGCGAGGGAGCTGAAGAGGAAGCACACAGAGAGTGCTCCCTCGCGCGCCGGCCCGCCGGGTGTCAGCAGGGCCAGCCTCTGGGGGGCCCTGAGGTGACCGGCTGCTGGGCCCCCCCAGGAGAAGAGGCTGGCCCTGTGGGTACATACAGGGATCGCAGGACCCCCTGCGACCCGGTATGTACCCACTGAATGTGGGGCCCGGACGACCTGAGCAGTCCGGGCCCCCCAGGACCGCCGGGCCCATGACAACCGTTGCGGTTGTCATGCCCTGATGGCGGCCCTGGGTACGACAACACTTACTGGGATCCCTAAAAATCCACACAGGACACACAGTTCAAAAAGGAACTAACAAACTCTGCTTTATTTTTACTTGGGACTAGCCCATTACATTTAGATTACTGTGACAACTTCAATGAAATACAAATAACCAAATCATATCAGACAACATACAGGAACGTATAAAAACATAATGACATATTTATAAAAGGGTTGGGGAAGACCATAATTAACACCAAATATCTACCTGAATATGCAAATTAACAAGACTTGCTAATTCAGGTAGTGCATATAGCTGTTGCTCCATAGCCAAATCCACCTTGTTGGTAGCAAGCATCATCAGGAGATCACACAAAACATTTAACCACAACCAATTATATTATACGCACCCTGCACCTATAACGGGCACAGGTTGATTAAAACATAAAAACAAATCAGGAACCTATTTAAAATGCATTCTGCACAGCAAAAAGAGAATAGGGACAGCCGTCAAAATACAAGTAAACAGTGAGTTGATGCAATCAATTAAAACCATTCATATTTAAAAGGCTTGTCAGGGGAGGAGTGTGCTAAAACTTTCCTCCTTATGAGGGAACTGTCTTGGGTAGCAAGTTCCCTTAGTGTCCCTTGGTCTCCGCTTCTCAAATACTCCGTTGGTCCTGCATTCAGTTACAGCACACAGTGATTATAGCCCTCTGGAACCTTGTGATATTCCCCAATATAGGGGACAGGACCAGTCATATTGGGTAAAACAAGAGAACTGTTTATTGCATAGAAAACACATGTATTTATTTGAGTACACACAACAAGGTATCTTTAGCCAGAACAATGCAAACCACTCCATAGAGTCTTGGTCTCTGGGACATGATTAGATTAAGATGGATTATTTAATTACCTGCTGGACACCAAGACCCATTGTACAAGATGTTACACACTATAATAA